TCTTAGGGTAATTGACCATTCATGGTGAAGTTTATTTAAATGTAATTGCATGTTTATAAGTGCACTCCATGAGTCAAGTGTGAGCTAGTAAAGGTGGAGAAAGAAAAATACTTTCCGGTTCTTTTGTTTACTTGATCTGTAAGATGTTCCAAAACTGCCTCGAGAAATCAAGTGTCTGGTGGGATCATTTACACTGGATAATTTAATTTCAAAACAAGTTTTTCAGTTGTGAACTGTCAAAATTGTGATTATAACGTTTAAGATGACAGGCAGAAAATTACAGTTCAATTTTGAACTTAATGGAAACCAATAAAATACTTACGATGTTCACAATTCAATGTCTAATTGTATCATGTCTGGATTATGAGGTTTTGATATGTTTGTGTGTGTGTGCTCAGCTTGTGTTTTTTTTATAAAATAATTCCTGCTTAATTTCATTTCATGTGAAATATCTAAATAAAAATAAAACAGGTTATTGTTTCATTTGTCAATTATGATATACAAGTGCATATCTCCTTTTAGATGTGTTCAGGCTGCTGCTTCTTCGTTTATGAAATGAGTCTATGCACAACTTTACAGTAGCAACAACACTACAAAATACAAAGTGAAAAAGCTCCAATGATAATGTGATGGCTTCCAGGTTTGATAAAAGACTTGGAAGGAAGTCAGAGTTTAGACTGGAAAACACATGTTGGCCACCTTAGGAATCTGTACTGTAACTGTATGGATACATTGCAACATTGTTAACATCCTCATTTTTATCACCCTTTACAGAGAAAATAAAAAAACGACAGTGACAGTGTATTTCCCTGGGTCCTCAGCAACTCACACACTAAGCCTAGACAAGTAGATCGGCCCAAGGCTTGGCAAGATAATCAAACTAATAAACAAACACACACTCATAGCCACACAGATACATGTAGTGTTATAGTATGATTCGATTTGGCATGTATAAATGTAAAACTTCCGATGTGAATTAAGATGTGTTCCTCAAGAGTGAGTAGACTGCACCATGAATACAGTATACGACATTTAATAAAAAATAACATGAGAGCAGGTTTTTTCCACATAGGAAATGAGCTAAAGGTCTTGTCATAGATACAGTGCAAACCTCTTGTTCACTGCTGTCACTCATAGCAGAGAGACACTGCCAACTGTACAGCACACCACCAGCACCACCGCTGCCAAGCTGCCACAGTTAAATACTCTGTCCTCTGTTTTACCCCACGCAATGAATGTGCCCCTGCATGCACAAGACCAACATACTACCAAAGTCTGATGGAGGGAAGCCCACACAGACACACAACCTGAGTGTGCTTCAAACATTTTTATTCATAAATGATAGTCACTCCTGTCTCCTATCACGTGAAAATGAAGTCCATAAAATAACTTTAAAATGCCCCACCCAATCACACACACACACACACACACACACACACACACACACACACACACACACACACACACACACACACACACACACACACACACACACACACACTCACACACACACACACACACACACACACACACACACACACACACACACACACACACACACACACACACATTCTTACTACAGTATTTACTCAATGACTCAGAGAGGGACCCTGCCAGAAATCTACAGGGCTTTGATAAGTGACAGCTGGAAGGAAAAGAATAGATCATTACCTCACCCTGAGAGCGCTGTGATAGACCATACTCTGCTATAAGGTGCCAGAACAGAGGTATGACATATGATATGAATGTTATTCCTCGCCTGGCTAATGGGCTTGGTGCTGCCAGGGGTCATTCTTTAGTTGAGTAAATGTCAGACATGTTGTCGCTGAGTGGGTCGTGTTTGGCTGCACGGGGGCTCTGAGGGAGATGCAGCTCTCTCCAATGTCCCAGCTGTGTGGTGTGTCCTTCTTTAGGAAAATACAAAATGTTGGGAGTATCCATGTGTGGTTTGCATTATGATCAAAATATAAATAAAGATGTGCATGCTGCAACTTGGTGAATCTTCTGGTTTTGGAATGTTTCCATTCATCTTCCAGGTGAACTAACGCGTTGTCTCTCGAGCTGCCTCAGAACAGGGCAGCTGGAACGCACCAGTGATGAGTGCATGTGTGTTCATGTCTTCAGCAGGACTCTTCTGGGCCTAGTGAAGCATCAACCCAGTGCATTGTCACTGGTGTAAAATGAATGGGTATCTCTGCTCCATTTCACTTTTACCAAGCCTCCTGATGGGAATACACCCATACCTATTTCCCATAGCGGCAGTAAAGGATGCAACAGCAGTAAAACATGATGAGTGACTGAGGAAAAGAGTCTAATGCACTTGGCGTGTCTGCATGCTAACGTGATCTTATATATTCACTCAGCTGCCTGCCAGATACAAATACTTTGCTGAGGCAAGATGAGTTTCACATGATGAAACAAGGTGAGTCATAACACTCAAGTTTCATTGAAACTCCCTATACTTATTCATTTTCTACAAACTTGTCAGATTTTGTCAATTGTTGCTTTACTTTAATATTATGGTTTTACCCATTAAAGGTTAGGTAGGTAAGTTTGAGAAACCGGCTCGAGATACACTTTTTGTTATATTCCATGGAATGCTCTTAACATCCCGATAGCAATGAATATCTTAAGTGCTTTGACAAAAAATCCATAAAAAAATGTCATCTGTGGAAGCCGTAATACTGTAAAAAGCACGACCAATTATTTTAGCCGGCCCGGCTAAAGTAACTGGATGGCCTACCTGCCTGTCAGCCTTCCATCTGTGCACAAACTTATCTCGTGCCCTCATTGGTCGTGTGTGTTGGAGGAGGGGCTCTGTAAGGAAGTGGCAGATTTTTTCCGGTTGTGTATTTTCAAATTCTAGCACACTCGAGCTGGTTTCTCCAAAATTACCTACCCCACCTTTAAGTGAACTATACTTCAGTTTTGATAATAAACGTTTGTTGTGTATTATGTGTACATGTGTCTCCTCCAAAAATGTGTTTTCACTTTAATTGATATTATCGAAATTGCAATTAGTCTCTTGTGTAACCCCCCCCCCCCCCCCCCCCCACACACAGACACAAACAATCCAGCACCAGTCACTTTTACGCTGCTATGGACCATTTTGCACTCCCATTTGCACTATGTACATCATCTTTTTTATATATCCTGCTTACTTGAAGTAAATGGTCATTTTGTGTTTTTTTTTATAAATTATTGAGTGTTCTTGCATTTTAATGTGTGAGTTTTTTTATACCTCGGGACTGTGGGAAACAGTATTTCGATCTTTCTGTGTGTACAAACATATTTTGAGATTGACAATAAAGTTGTCTTTGACTCTGACTTCGACTTGTGTGATGAACGCAACGCTTACCAAAGATTCTGACACAAAACTGAAACAGTTTTACTACAGTTTAGCAAAGTACAAGATCTTTCAGAGCAATACAAACAGCAGCCAGAAGGTTATTAGCTTCTACCCTAAACTCTGCATTCCCACTCTCCCACTCTGTCACTCATGTGTCAGTGTTTCCATTGAGTGTAGTGGTCCTTTGTGTGTGTGTGTCAGGGCGGTCTTACTCACTCATCCATGGCCTTGGCTTGGACTCAAAGGGGGAACTGCTATTTTCCATTATGCAGAGTGGGATGTTTAAGATGAACCGAATCGAAAGAGGTCCCCACAGCCACCGGGGGGCAGTCAAGCTCTGTGTTACGGTATGCCTACAAAGAGCAATCAGTGAGATTTGTGTTTGCTGGCAGATGGGGATAAACTCTTAAAAAGACTTTACTTCGCTTAGATTATGACGTGATCAAAGTGGGTACTATATGCTGCACTTTTGCATTGATTTCTGTATCTCTATCTGCCCAAACATTCCCATCATTTGCAATTTATATATCTAAATGTAACTGCCAAAATTGGATATGAGGTTATAATGATCCTTAAATATTGTTATAGTATGATATAACACACTGTTGCCGGGCTCTAAAATAAATGTATAGAAATGTCACACCATGGCTAAGAGCAGGCTCACAAAGGATGTGTGTGTGCTCTCCAATCTACCACTTTGAACACTAGAACCTCTCAATACTGTTTCCTTTGAAGCGTCTGAGGTAGTCTCAAGCTCATGAGCTCCCACAGCGCCAGTTGAAGTGACTACACAGGTCAAGGTCAAAGCCCAGGTGAGCCATATGTTCACTGACCTTTGACCTTGGATCAAAGGTGACCAAATGTGTCAACAGAAGCTCTATTGTGATACAACTAGGCTGTTGTGTTTTCAACTGCAGCCTCATGACTTAATCTATACCAAGCACCTATAGCAAACATAAGAGGCTATACAAGCAGATGGAAAATGTGAAATATCCACTTTTCAATTTAGGGGTGTATACTGTTTGTGATTTCCTAGTATAACCACCAGATGGCAGTAGTAAAACACAGTTCATATTTTGTTGCCAGATCTACTGAAATAAAGTTCCAACAAGCCCTGGAGAGCTGATATTTGATTGCAAGATGTTGGCTTTCTGTTTTTTTTTTATAGCTTTTGCTTCAGGGGGTCCTTTTGTAGGGGACCTTATGTATTATTCACATAGCATCACATTAACGTCTACATAATAACTTTCAGTAATTCTTCTACTGCCTGAGGCACATCATAGTAGGAATACACAGCTTAGCTTTTCACATATTATGATATAATAAGCACTTGAACTAACTCATATTCTTCCTTAACCAATTTGATTTTGTCATATATTATTTGTGATGTTAATTATATCTGCTTGGAAAATCATTACTTAAAGTATTCCATGATGTGAGTATGCTTTACTTGTATGGATAAAACAGACAGTAAGTAAATCACTGTCCGAAATGTTAGGTTATAAAAGGTTTTCACAATATTATAGTAATATACTCAGCAAGGTGGTGCAAAATGTAATCTGATCATCTAGCTAAAGGAAACCTTTCTGACTATCCACATCCTATGATACCTGCAGGACACCAATACAAATAGATTTAATGAAACCAACACTTCATGAAGAGACATTTATTAGATCAGTAGAATACATCATCACCACCATCATCATCATCTTGCCTAAAAGCAGTAGCAGCAGCAGCACTTCATCTCCTCACTTTCACCGTATGTCCAAGACAGATGCAACGAGGCACCATTTTTTTTGTCTTTATAATGAGGATCTTATCATATGTCCATCTCTCCTGAAAGTTGCACAATTCTGATGTTGAACTTGTTTTGTTAGCCTTAAATCGTTTTTCAACGGCTCCAGCTGTTTCTCATCTTTTCCGTCACGGTTTCCGAAGCATATGAGGGTTGCAAACACTCACGAGACAAGGTCCTCTGATGTGCTGATGTGTTGCAATGCTCAACTAACAGTGTTCCATGTTGTTTTTTAATTGTTGTTAACAGGTCTGTGGGCGTTTTAAAACCTCAGTGAGATCCTGTTTCGATCTTGTTTATATATTTATTTATGAATACCTACCTCCGGAATGATCAATTATACAGTTAAGAGTCTTACAGAAATAGTATGTACATCTTTGAAATATTTAATATTGTGTACTGCATTAGCAAACAACACAATTACGGTGACAACACCAGACTATATCAACGCTATAGCAAAACAGGAACTCTACAATAGTATTCACATGCACTAGTACACAGTGTGATACTTGTCAAACATAGACCATCGTATTTTATATTTACAAAATGTTCACAGCTACATTCCAGGTTTGTGTGCATTGTATAATCAAAGTATTGTTATAATCAGAAAAACTTGTTTTTTATATAACGTGCAGTGAATTGAAGTTTTTACACTGCTCTGCCTGTGAAGAATATGAATATGTGGTAATACATGTGGAAGAAAAATACATTTGGGATAGTCGGTTATTGCTCAGTGCATTTGATAAGTAATGCATGTGATATTGACCAATATTGATAAATAACTTCCAGTCTTACCACATTAAGTGAAAAATAATACCGTTATTTTAAGAGATTGGTCCTGTAAATCAGATTAATCAAGCTAATGAGGAAAATATTTTCACAATGTACATAATGGTATATCAATAAATACACATATAGTGGTGACAAAGTCTATGCAAATCAAATGAACATGGAAGAACTCAGCATTACATTTTATGCACTGAGATGATGCAGACATCCGTATGAATTGACAGTCAATGTAACGACTGCTGACACTGGAAGGAATCTGATGAAAACATAAACAAAACAGAATAACAAAACCTGACTTTGTTTGAAAAGCTTATCTAGGGCGTAGACAAACAGACAAGTACAACATCTCCCTGTTTTCAACTGCTGTCGAAAGACTTTTTCTTAAATAAATGTACTTTCTGGGATAACAATCTAAAGCAACTAGACAACTGCAAGCCATTCCCTTTATAATGAGGAGATGTCACAGAATACAGTATTTACACATCGTAGCTACATGGTTGAATTCACTGAAAAATGTGGACAGTTGCTCCTAGTTTCTTGCAGTGCCTGGGCATCTTCTAGTGTTGACAGATTTAACCATATATAATACCAAAAGTGACTAAATATCCCATTTGTGCTTCACTTATTTTGTGCTTGTAATTCCACTGCCACTCCATTTACTCTCCAGACTGTTTATAATGTAATCCCACCTCCTCTTCTTTCATATTTGTGAAGTAAAAAAAAACATGATCAGGTTTTTTTTTAGGTATCTACTTAGTTTCACACTGATAAAGACACCTAACTAGCATGCCATGAGACGATGCCATTGCCATCTCAATGTGGAGTCAGTCATGTCTGTAGGGTGGGTTTATGTATATCCAGTTGTTGTGCTGGTTGACACTGCCCCTCTGCAGTGTTCAGGCCACAGAGACCGGCTGAGATAATATGCTCCCATGGTTTCCTGCGGTCCTCTGAAGTGCCGTACTGTAAACATGGCTGCCCACGCACAGAACCCACCAGCCGGCAGATCAGGATAGTGTTACCTTTTTCCAGTTTCACTTTTCTACCCAGTCTTTGAGGAAGATGTCTGTATCTCGATATGAAGGAGAAATGTGGGTAGGTTAATCAGGTTACAGGATGAGGGTGTGGTTTAAGGTATGGGTTTTAAAAGTCTGGGTTTGTGAGTCAGACACTGCGGGGGGCCCTCTCCAGTTCATGGGTCCTGCGGTTGCGTCCCTTCTGCCTGTCTTGCAGGTGTTTCCACTTGGCAGCCAGCCCCTGAGCGTGCATGTGGGCGCGAGGGCTCACCACCTTCTGCTGCTGCTGCTGCTGCTGCTGGTGTATTTGTACTTGCTGAACTAGGTGAGCTTTCTGTTTTCTGTGCTTTCTCTCCCTCTTCCATACCTGCTCACAGAACTCGTCGACACTGTTCAGAGTCGGGTGATTGACCAAAGACAGGAAGTCTCTGTACCACAGCTTTTGATTGGGACTTTCTTGAGGTGGGGGAATATGCGGGGCAGGTACGCTGGCTGCTGCCTCTTCATCCCGATGGAGCAGATCCTCCAGGCGCTCGGTGTCAATCACCTCTAAGGTCACCTTCAGGAGGGTCTGCATGAAGCCGTGCTCCACCGCCTGGCACAGATAGATCCCAGAATCCTTCTTGTGGAGTGTTCGAATCAGTAGGCCCTGGTCTGTGCGGATGAAACGCTCTTCTGATTGAACCTACAGTATGAGAACATTGGATAGACAGAGAGAAAGACATTGATCATTAAGATAAAAGCTTCAACATTTCCCCCAAAAATAATTAGCTATGCCTTATTGCTGTTTTGATTAATATATTTTTTTTTACTAAATTATAGTTAATCAAAAATGTAAAATAACACAGTATCTTATTAATATTTAATGATATTAATAAGATACTGTGTTATTTTACATTTTTGATTTTTAAGTTTTAAGTTCTTTGTCTGCTTTGCATTGTATCTCTATTTCAACCAAACAGATGAAGTGTGTTGTGACATATTTCCCACCTCTTGTTTGCGGTCATCAGCAGAGCGCTGATACTGCCAATATGTCACGGCTCTCTGGGACTTGGGACTGCACTCAAGGAAAGTGCTGCTGTTCTCCACACCATACACAGTCTTATCCAGGAGAGTCGACTGCCCACTGAGTTCATCTAGATGAAACAAGAGAATATATTACACACCCAAGTTTGTGGAAGCAAATCACTTTTGCAGAAAATATTGTGATGTTAAGTGACTCTCTGTAAAAAACTGGCAGATTTTTCTCCGACTGAATGAATGTAAACAGTACTGAAAGATAGTACTTTATAAGATAGGGGCCTGGTTATATTTTTCATTTGACTTTATCTTGACGCGTTATACCATCTTTTTTCTTATCACACTTAATCATGCACAATAGGCAGCTCCCTCCACGGAGGCAGTCCTTGGAGGAAATGGGCTGTAGCTAAGATATGGGAAGAAGGTGCATTTTTGTTGAGTCAGTGTTCCACTGATTGATCTCCTAAATGCTGTTGTAAATTCGCCAATCTTTTATCCTTTTCTTTATAGAGTGCTGTGGCTCATTGAAATGTGTATTTAAAAGTGTTGCTGCCTACTGAGTGGGAAGCATCAGGTACAGGACATTTTTGTGTGAATTTCTCCTCCACAAGTCAGAAGCTTTTGTTAACACTGTTTTAAAAATATATATTGTTGAGTTAAATGAAAGGAAAGTGTAATCACAGTTATTTGACACCAGTATGAGTCCTGATTTTGGAGTAAGACCACAAACAGGGCAGTGGAGTGGAGGCTTGGCGACAGAGAGGAATCCTGACCATTTTAATTAGAAGCTTCACATGGACGGACTCTAATCTTCACACCACCAGAGACACATAAACACAAACACATTCACATTCTTCTTTAATGTTTTGATCGCTTGAGGAAAGAAGCAGCTTTAGGACCATTTTATGTTAATAAAGAAATCCTTAGAGAAAGCTCTTATCCATATATCATTTGGAAATAATGAAAAGTAATAATATCTGAAATAAAAATACATTTGATGACATATTGCATTCGTAATACCATAGTTTGTAAAATACATTTTCTTTCTATAATGTACCTTGGTGTTGCAGATCTGAGCACTGTGTGAGCGGGTCTCCGTTCCTGATATCTTGCCTTCTTGTTCTCCTGCAGAAACATAAATATAAACACCTTCATGAGTCAGCAGACACAACGGCTTCTTTTAATGTGTGTGTGCAAAGATACTCGTGTGTGTTGGTGTGTTTTTGAATGTGGTTTGGATGTGCAGCAAATAGTGGAGGCCAACACAAATAAATAAATTAACCGCAGGCAGCCCATAGCCTAAAAACACTTTAATTATAGGGTGTGTATCACAAAGGAATGCAAACCTAATCAATCATTTCAGCATGTCATCTCTCTGGGATGCAGATGCAAACGAGGTGGAGTTTCAAGTAAAGTGAAACATAATGCTAAGGATATTTTCTGTAAACAATAATTTAAGAGGCTATGGAGACACCAAAGCAAACTGGCATCTTCTCCCCCTCTGCTTCCTATTGTTCTAACCCAGTGTGTGTGTGTTGGTAATTGGAGGTAAAAGTTTTCTCTTGTCTCTCTTATCTTGTGTTTGAATGCAGGACTCTGGAGTCCAACTAACAGCGAGAACAGGATACTGTGCAGCGAGCATTCAAATCAATAAGCCCAATGGAGCTATGAGTGGGAGGCTGCACACAGAGCACACACAAGTACACACATACATGAACACATACAGATCAGTCCGCTACCACAGAACCTCTTACACCTAGCTCACCCCTGGTTCACCCAGACAGCCTCAAGACATCACTGACATGGGGTCTCATTTACAGTAAACACATGAGGCAGGTTATATTTCTGGCTCTCTGGTAGAAACACAACCCTCTACCTTAAGGGGGTTTTGGCAAATATACAAAGCCTGCACTATAAGTGCTCCAGCTTCAGCCCGAACCGCGGCCTGCCTGCATATGTCCTCAATCACACAAGTAAAAAGCCTTCTATATAATGTGCTTTTACCTCAGTAAAATGTAGGCACTATGTTAAAGAAAACTAATTCTTAAGCATTATTCAAACATTTGTTGTAAATGCTTAAATCTAAAGCAGGTTACTCTTATGCGAAACACAAATACACATTTCTCTTAATGGTGCTCTCTTCATATGAAGCACATATCCTGTCTGTGCTACTTTCAGTGTGTTCAATGTGCATTCCTAGCCAGATATGATAAAGTATCTCCTGTTGTGCCAGGTTCAAAGTATCATATTGAATTTAAGGAAAACTTGCAGGGCAGATTAGTGACCGTGTACAAGGTGTCCGGCAGCTTGTAAAACACAATAGTAGGGTGGCAACGTGGCAGGAATGTGGAAGGATGTGTTCAGTACCTCTTAGCCATGGGAAAGTATCTGGAGCACTCGGTGCCGTCCCATGCACAGTAAGGGTCCCTCGCCAGGCAGCATTCAGCACAAGCCTTCCCATAAACCTCACACCGATGCAAAGGCATCTGGGACACACCAATGTCAGAGCCAATGTACAGTTGTTGCTGTGGAGGAAGAAGAGAGAGAGAGAGTCAATTTTCAATATCAGATATTTTACGTCTTAAATGTAGGTTTTATATCTGGCTGAGTGGTGTGCTTTGAGTAGAACTTGCCTCAGCTTATGTGTGTCAGTAAAGCAAAAAGACAAGTCAGGAATGTGGACATACCAATTTCACTACAGGTGCTCCACACCCTTCTACCTGTCAATTACCTGTCTCTTTTAGTCTCTCCCTGCCATTTAAGTTGACAAACTAACTGTTGCCTGAAAGCTAACAATTGAGATCTCAGTGCGATAAACTCTTTCATCTCAAAGTGTTTAAAACAACAGTGTGTGTGTCTATTCAGTCAAAGTAGAACAGTTTGTCACCTCTGAGGAAAGTTCTTACTTTCTAAGAAACTGTTTTTTTAAGACAAAAATTGTAGTTTATTATCATTATGTATCATATCTCCACAGGTTCCCCTCAATTAATTCCAGGAGGCTTATCTCCAGCCTTAATTAAAGTATTTTACTGAGGAAATATGTTCTTGTTATCTTATATCAGATTAAGATCTCCTTGTGTGTTCTGCTAAACGGGTTGCTTAGTTTATTTTTTACATGCAATAAGAAATAACATCTATACCTGTTTCACGGAAAGTTCCATTGCTGTGATGGCGGTTGGCTCCTGTAAAAAAGAAAAGTCAATAAAATGGTATTAGACAAAATACTTTAACCTGGAGTATTATTGCAGATTATAAAAAGCAACCTACTCTGAAGACAGTCATTTCCTCCAATAGGACTTCCTCCAGATCATGCCAGGAGCCTCTGGGGATGGATACCACTTTCAGTATTGTCCCCATATCTAGAACGTGATGAAAGCGCAAATATCTTGAGTAAATATCCACTCTGCAGTCCATGCATATCCTTCATTTTAATTGATCAATAAATAATGTTGTGTATACCTGTGCCTATGAACATGACATCATACTGGCCATCTTCTGCTTCCACTTTGTCCACCACTATCTGAGTGAACTGGTAGTCCACATCTGTCTTGACTATGATTGGTCGGTTGTTGATGGGGTAGACTGGGTTAAACATGGCTGGGTGGCTTCTGGCAAAAGTTACAACTTCATCAGGAAGGTCCTTGGTTGTATCAAACCCTCCAAACGTCTTGCTTGGGCACTGTGGAGAAAAAAGGGATATTTGTCATAAGAATTACATAGCAGGACATAAAGGAGTATTACCTTTCAGGCTCATTTTATAACACACTGACTATTATTAAGATAAAAGTGTAGTGTACTCACTGTGCCAGGCCGGGGGTAGGGAACACGTCCCTGGAAGGGCACCCACTGATAGTTGGGTCCATCTCTGTGAGCGTAGGGACCCAGGAACACTCTCCTGATGTCTGTCATGCTGTACATACACACAGCTGAACCTTTGAAGATGTTGCTAATGGGCAGAACAGATGACTCAGTTAAGGAAAGCTCAGTTCCTGGTTGAAAACAAGGAATGTGCAATAAGTAATCATGGCCAAAACTATTTCTATGTTAGCCACAATACCTGGAAGTTGTAAATACTGCGTAGATGATTGGGCTCTTAGGATCCTTTGTGCTCATCAGAAAAACATCCTCTGAAAGCCAAAGAGAGGACAATGTTTATTATAAACACATTCTTCACTATAAAATATCTAATCCTCAGGAAATAATGTATGAAACTCACGTAGTTCGTCAAAGTGTGTGTCTATTCCGTTACTGCCAGGCACAGAGCAAATAAGTCGAGCCTTCAAGAAGGTGGTCCACTTATTAACCAGACTCCTGTGACCTCCCAGGTCATTCTGTTGGAAAGATCACAGTTCATTCATTTAAAATGTACAAAAACATTTCAACAATAACCATTTGTTTGTTTCATTTTTAGCATATACCATTATTTCATCATGTTACAAGAGAAAACCTTTTTTTTCTTTTTATATGGAGCTTTATGTAAAGCATTGCTTACATCATGGGGGGATTGTATTGCTTTATTTCATACTCTACTGCCAAGCTGTGAATAAATGCTTCATTACCCTGTGGTTGAATGAGGTGCAGCGTTTCCTCGTTGGCTGGGAATGGGACATATTAATTTCCTATCCTATGCAATTTATGCTGCCATTCCCCTGCCTTTCACAGCATACTATAACACAATCTTGTCATTCATATAAGAGATTACACTTCAAAGATTGGATATATGACAATAGGCCTTTGTTGGTTGGAGAGTACTGTGATTCAAACTTGTAAAACTTGATGTGTATGCCAAGGAACCTTCAGATAACTCATAATAAAAAGTCATGTAAGAACACATCCTCCCTTCAAAGCAACAGCTTAACTACTGTAGATCAGATCATGAGGAATTAACCATATTACAATAGACAGTTTCTCTGGTAAATTATTGCATTTGTTGTGGATTAAGACCTGTCCATCAACCAAACATCCACTACTTAACAATGGATTTTTCGATGTTGTTGGTCTCTAGAGTACTGTATGTTCCAGTAAACCTCGAGAATATGTGTATGTGTGCTTCAGAGTATGGTATTTGTTTTCCAGAACATTGCACACAAACACAGAGGCAGAAGTACTGGCTCATAAAAAAGTATCCTACTTGGTGTTGATTTATGACAGTAAATTAGAATGTGCATAGGCCAAAATGAATACCAAATCTTGCATAATGGATGGTTTGTCTTCTGTTGAGCATAGCAGATTCCTGACATACTGGGTAATCAGGCTGTTATGACTGAGGCACGATATGCAGCTAAATGGGAGGTTGAGGCAGGGCATTACTTGCTGATCTGCAGTCAGCCCAGTGAATTCCTGCTTGATGAAGAAGAATAGGATTTGGAACGTGAAAGCTGATACAAGGCCAGTGATTAAACACAACCATCCCCTGGAGCTAAAGGGTGTAGCAGCCCCAATCAGTGCCAAAGCCTGGCATTAGGATAACATTGCTGCCATTGACAGCGTCTGTGCCTCTCAGGTTCTAGTGACATTTAACGTATCTCTCAGGTTTCTGTCTTCGGGGGCCGATTGTAGCACACACAACAAGGCCCACTTTCTCCAGGCTAAAAATAATCACAGATAAGAGGCCCTGAAACCTGCCATTATGAAAGCCACTCAGACACCCGTCAAGTGTTTTCACAGATACAGAAGCTATTTCCCATAATGTCGCTTTGTGTTGTGAGTGTTTTTGTCTATCTCCCTTTGTGGGCATCTGTAGTTTCCTTTGCCGGAGCCTGCTATGGCAAGTGTGTGTTTGAATTTATGCGTACTTTGCAGAGCTGTCCGATGCGAGCATGTGTGGCCTTTCCAGCGTGCTCGCCATCCATTGCGTTCTCTTTGAAGAGCAGGTAGATTTTGTCATCTTCTGGATTGTCGCTCTCTGGGATCAGATGAACACCCACAAACCTGGGATCTGACACACATTGAGAGACATATATTTGAGATAACGTAAATCAAGACAAATATCAATTATATGACCAAAGCTATCTCAAAGAGTACATTTATTTATCCCTTTTCAGGATAGTGCTAGTAAGTCCTTACAATTGTAGTACTACATTTAAAGAGGTAAGATGACAATAAGGAGAGCAAATTAATGTTATATTTACATTTTTAAGAGAGGAACTCAGGGGATTAAATGTGTAGAGCCTTTTAACCTGTTAAGCCCCAAGCCTGTTTTTCAGGTTTCAGGCTCGAAAATGACATTCCCAGAACAAATCTTACTTACTATCTTCACTTCTAAAAGGGGTAAATTAAAAAATTGTTTTCTCAAAGCAATGATAAACCTGTGAGTTGGATGTAGAAAAGTCAGAATCAATATAGATGTTTTTATTTTAAAGTAAATTCAGATTGAACATAGAAACAATTAAATTATAGTGTCCGTCCAAAAGAAAAACATTACCTATAGTGAAAACCACCCTTGAATGATGGGATAGTATACTAAAAGCTTTAGGAATCAAAACTATAACATATAATAAGTACCCTGTATCAAGATTGATGCAAAACAAGTGACATTTCACCTTTTTAGAGAGATTTAGAAAAATAAACCCACTTCTGGGAGATATTGCCATATCTCTGGGTCGATTTTGATGATTGACACCACTTTTTAAACGTTAAATCGAATAGAATCGAGGGGAAGTTCCTAAAAATCCATCTAAACATTACCCATTGGTGAATAGAGTGATGCGTAGCCAGAATGCCCAAAACCGGAAGCTGGGTTGTAGCTCTCATACACTCTAGTAGCCAGGGGCGGACTGGGACTAAAAATCAGCCCGGGACTCTCGACCGAACGTCCCGATGGCCAGTCCGCCACTGCTAGTAGCTATCATAGCAGCTATATATGAAATCTCAGTTTTTGACAAACATTTTATAATGGTTTATCAGTAATCATTTCAAAGTGACACAGAGACATTGGATTAACCTTCAGCAGCGTTGTTATCGATTTAATGCCATTGAACACAACTTTTGATCAGAAAACAGCAAAGGTAAGACGTATTTGCCGTTTTGGCCCCGTAAAGCTAAGTTGTGTGTTGTCTGGTTTCGCCTTCGCTGCCCTGAGTTTCTTCCCGTTAAGTGGGTATGACACATTCATAGTTTGTTAAATATTAAGAAGCCCTCAGACGCTGTTTCTTGCAAGATGTTGCGTTTTGCCCGCGGTACCGGGGGCATGGGTCTTAACAGGTAGTAATACAAAAAGTGTTATATTGAATATCTAAACTCCACAGGCAGCCAATGGAAAGAAAACAACATTTGGGTAATGCTCTTGTCCTAGAAAACAGGCTGCAATATTTTTAGCAATGCAAAAAAGATACAGTTCATTGAATGAAGCACGAGTATAATCAATTAATAAATAACTGTTTTGAAGTCACAGAAAACATGGAGACAAGAGTAAAAACAAGAGAGTTCTCTAGGGTCGTTTTTTTCTGGGACAATACCATATCGGTTTTTATCTGTATTTATTTTAAGAAAAAGTTTAAGACTGTGTATAAATAGAAAACAAAAGAGGCAATCCTTTGTTGAGTTAAGCAGCATCAGACTTCGCATCACCGACACCCACTTCATTTTTTCAGGATAATACATTTGACAAAAGGCACATAAACTAACTAATAGTTGCATGCATAATCAAGTAAAAGTCTTTGATTGAAAATCTCAGGTCTCTCAATCAAAGACTTTACAAGTGACTTTCTTCGTCTCTCTCACCATTTAACCACCGGGAATCATGTTGCTCGGTCCTGATTGGGTGATGCTTTCCAAGAGTGCGAAAGATGGCAAAGTCCCGCCCCATGAAGTCAGCTGATGTCCCAGCATACAGCTCTCCATCTGTGAGTAAGAGGAATGAATTGGGTTAGTTTAGTAACACCGGATGGGAAAACACTCAGTTGTGATTTCTCCCCTCTGATGCAGGTGTACAAATCGGAGCAATTGTTCAGGGGATTAGCAGTTCACATAGACATGGAGTCCTGGGAGAACACAGAGAGTGATGTACGGGATGAACATCAGGAGTGTGAAATTGACTTTAACACAGCAGGCAGGGCTGAGAAGGGAGACAGGGGAAGGGTGAACGGATGGAGGGACACATGAGGAGGGACAGGAGAGAGGTGTGAGACAGGGGGAGTACATAATAATGCTGGTGAGAGGGGAGAGAGAAAGGGTGAAAGGAGATTGGGGTGATGGGCTGGAAAATAGCCATCTGCTAGGTTAAATGGTGTGATATAATATAATGTGACTGGCAATAATTGGGGGTAAAGAGGAAAGACATGCCCATATGCTCACATGCTCTTGCTTTATTTGTCAAAAATGAGGATTCAGTGCAAAGAAAATTCTATTAAGTGTCATCTGCCATGCACGCCCAGCACTTAAAGGAGGCATATTCAGATTTAAAATAGACTTTACAGTCCTGCCAATGAGGGGTTTCCAGTGAGTAAATACAAACTACAGAGCAGATGCACTTGTAATGAATAACAGGAATGCCCTGTTCTGTTATTCACGTTTACTTACCTCCCTATATATCTTTTGAAATGAAAGAGCAAGGCACAGGGTGTTTTCAGTACTCCCACGTTTTTATATGACCTTGCTCTGACACACAGAAGAAAGGCATAGTGTTTCCGGTTTGAACTTACCAATTAGCATGGAGGCAGTGAGCAACTTGGGATCATAGGGACTTTTCCCACGGCCATTTTCTACCAGAGGATCCAGTCTGAACACGTTGTCCTGGACATAAAGAGACATACAGTTACAGGGGTTGTAATGCAGTGGTCCACATTTTCTTCACCCGTCAAAGATGCAAATTACACGGGTAAATAAAGAGTTGGAAATTACTCAACGGAACACATTGGACATGCTGTTTGATAGAACACAGTAGTATTGTATTAAAATGAACAAATGTTGTGACCCACAGAAAGGTATTTACATTTTAGTCTACATGGTTGCTAAGTATTTCACTATTATAGCCATAGTGTTGAAAACATGGACACATTATAAATCTAAGGAAATTCTTACCCTTACAGAAAAGGGATTGAGTAGGAAAGCTTTAAATCTCATCGCTCTCTATGACTGGGTGACCTCGACACTAGGAAAGCCATCAGATAAATTACATTACTAGGTCATGATCTATATAAAGTAGATGGCTTTTCTAGGAGATCTTTCCTGCCTCTAATTGTCTGTAAATAGCCGAGTAATGAATAGGAAACGCACATTTATAAGTCTGACTCAGTGACATTTGGAAGAGAAGAGAGCAATTTCCTTCGTTCATACTGAAATGAACACACATACATTGTTTCCATATTAGAGTGATGTATTGGAAATCTCGTAGACTATGAAACGCTGTATGTAATTTTCCACTTCATTTAGCGAAATGCAACCACATTTAAGTACTTAGTAAATCATCACAAAATGCCCTCACACCCAACCACGAATGGTCCTTCACAAGTATCGCTTTTAGTCAAATGTAACCTGTGCCTGTACCTCTAGTTTCTTGCCAACCTCCAGGTAGGAACACACAGGGTGGAAGGCCCCCGTCCCACACACATAGAGATGGGTCTGGTTGAAAGGCTGCAGCACCTTAATGAAATTTGAGCACTCCCGCTGATGGACAAGAGACAGAGAACAGATTAAGCAGGATGAATAATCAACCTTGGCAAAAAAAAAAACTTTAATGTCACAATTGATACAGTCTTTCGTGCCACAGTTGTGCAAAAGCTTGTCGTTGTGTGCGTCAGCAAAAAAGCGATGAAACAGCTGGATAAGTAAACAGGTCAGATCTCACAAAGAGCACATGTCACAGACAATCCTGTGCTTAAATAGAGAAATCTGTAATGATAACGGAGAGCAAAGCCTACTGTAATCTACTTTAATTCTCCTCTAGAGAATGACCTATATGAACTCTAGCTTTGTGCTGAGTAATAATTCTCAAAAATAATATTATGACTAAGACTAAGCTTTATTATCCATGACTCTGTGTTTTTTTATTTGACACACACACACACACACACACACCCTGGGCAAGACACTTCACCCCAAATTGCTGTGGAGATTGTCCACAGTACTTAATGTATGTAAGTCGCTTTGGATAAAAACATCTAACAAATGACATGTAATGTAATGTATTGTCTTTCTCTCTGACCTCAGTGACATCCTTCACTGCTTGCTTCTGAAATGTTATGCACATTAGATGTGTAATTTGATGTGAAATTCATACAGAAGGGATTTAGACTGTGGAATAACAAAAGAGGCTGAAACACTAGTCAAGCATAATAATCCTACTGTATACGAATCACAGTAATGCAGGCCAACGTTTCCTTGCCGTAGATGTTCTTGATTTGTTACTGGTCTCACATGTTCTATCATTATTTTAAGAATTTAGGAATATTTATCACAAGTATTTTCTCCAGCTGTGTTTGTGTGTGTTGTATGCATTGTTCCATTGCCATGTGGCACTTTCCCTCGTGCTCAGGCAGCACGTGCCTTAGCAGACCTGACCTCAAATAAAAAAAATTATGAGTTGTGTCATCACATTTTCAATAGAAAAAAAGAAGAGGATAGGGCCACAAATTATGCATGACTAAGTTCATCTGGCTTTACTGGGTCATCAGCAGATAGCAGCCTCTGTTTACATAAGCTTTTGTTGTCATTTAAACAGCTGTCTGCTTGGATTATTGAGGCTTGCGTTGGTGGATTTATCTGAGTGAGGAACATCATTCTTACAAGGAATTACTGTGTATGATATCTGTCATACCTCTGAAAGCACAATATATGAATATTTAACATTTTCCTCGTCCTTCTAATAATTTGTTATTGTAATTTGCTGTGGATTTACATGTTGCCATTGAGTTTTATGCATTTTTGTCAGGCTAAGCAATAGCCGAAGCTTTTCATTTGATTTGTGGGTGTCTGGTCACATCTTTCACACCCATATATCTTTTTCTTTTCTCTCTGCCTCATCTTCTGAAGTGTTTGCTTACAGTACACCAGGGGACAACAGCACACTCACTCTCCATCTCTCTCCACCTCCCTTTAATTCTCACTCCACTTCGACTCCGTAACAGAAAGACCACCCCTCAGGGCGCCTTATTCACCCATGCAATAATGTTGACAGAAAACACACAAAGGACTTTGCAGTGCTTTAACTCCGCCATGGAGAAGGGCAGGAGAGCTTGACCAATGCCCAGGCAGAAAACTGAGGCACAAACCGCATTGCTATGATTTTAAATTCAGCCTATTGCCTTAGGCTCTTTTGAAGATACAATTCCTAACACAGCTTGAAGGAAGCAGACACAACCTCTCAGTGTGTTTACACAGAGATCCAACACACCACACAAGATGGAATCTGCGACTTACAGGAAGATGTGATGCTTGGCTTGTCATGTAGGGTTGAGTGAGGTAAGGAGTCTAAAAGGATCCTTGATCTTAATGCCAAAACAACTTTCAGTTCTCAGATCCTCAAAACTAGAAGCTCATCATATTTATTAAAATGTTCTTATCCTCAACAGATATCCTTATCCTCAACTTACTGTAGGCCCCAGCAATAGTTTCAGGACAAAACTTTGTAGGCATGCCATCAATAATAATGTACTTTGATAAGGGGACTCAAGTTTGTCTAATTCAAATGTACATTATCGAAGAAAATAAATTGGGAAAGCATCTATTTTAAAGCAAGACAAGCAAACCTCGGTCCAGTTTTGATGTGCTCCCAGAGGTTAGTCTGAAAATATCTAAAAGGAATGGATTGTATGATCGTAGAATTTTATAAGCACATTTTAGATTTAGGCAATAACATGTGAACAATAATGCTTATGAATATAATATTCCTGCATTAATGTTATACCCTATAGGTTTGGCAGAAATCACAGCAGTTTCCCAGGCCTGACTCACTCTATTAAATAGAGTGCCCAGAGGCTTGATAAGTGATTAAGGTCAAATGATGGTCTCAATCTTGGCTCTGAGATAAGACCTATAGCAAGCTACAGGAGGCGGTGTGTTGTCCATGTGACAGATTGGATATGTCAACAAACTGGAATAAACAAGCTGAAAGATAAAGACATTATCTCGTATTGTTTCTGATTAAAATGCCATATATAATGGAGAACATATCCCTATGTAATCCCTGTGCAACTACAAGTGAGGATTGTTTTGAGACCTGCAGAGTTGCACTTCTTTCCTAGCACAAGAGAACAAAGACATTTTCAAAACATCTGTGGGAGTGGAGGGGCAAAAGGCTGGCACCCACTTGCAAGATGGATGATTTTAGCTCTTACCGAGAGATCTTTTCCTGCCCACTTGCATTCATCTCTTCTGGTGGAAGAAGCTGGCCAAGGGATCTGCAACACAAACACAGTTCCTCTGCATGTTAGAAAAGAATCATCCCCCTCCTTGAATCAATTTAAAAGAGTGATACAGCTTCTGCTTGTGTGCACGCATGTGTACATGTGAGGGTCTAAGGGGTCACAATGCGATTTGTTATCCACTTTGTTTCAGTTTATTCCATTATTTATCCAGGTGTGCAGAGAGCAGCTAACATGCCTGGCACAGCGTGTGATCGTGTGCGACAGCCCTTGTCTGAAATATTAATGAGGTTCTTTTTTCAGTAGAAACAGAAAACAAAGTCCCGAGACACCTGAGCTCCAGGCTGGCACTTTGGATGCACACTCAAAGCAGTAATTACGTCAGAAATGCAAATAAACGTAAAGACATAATACATGTGTGAAAGGATGAAGCCACCAGACAGACTCACTGAAAACCAAACAATGGCTTTACCTGTGTGTAGTCTCTGCTGATGTTCAGGAGGTTAAAGGAGAAGATGTGGTCTTTGGCTCCCACCACAAGCCTTCCTTTCTCCTCGTCCAACAGGAAGGTGTGGTAAGACGAGCTGTTGGCAAGGCCTTCAAACGTCACAAGGTTGTTAGACTCCAGCATGTCTGCAGAGAATATGGAAAGAAAAGTGATGATCAGCATAATATGATAATCACTTTGTGAAAATCACATTAACAGTGGGCAGCATAAAACCTGAAGAAATCCATCAGGTCAGTGTTTATTTCAATATTTATATAACTTTTCCAAAAAGTCTGAAAGACACAGCCCTGGTTTTAGAAAGCTTTCAACATTTCCAACCACTCTGTGACCACAGGTTCACCTCTCCATTCACCAGTCTGCCTGCTCTGTTGTAATGTTCCACATACGCTGACAGTTCACTGCTTTATTCCATGAGGGTACACTGAATAAGTGCATTTTTTTACAGTGGGTTGGTTTGGCTATATCCCCGATAGACTGGTCCTCTTCAGAGCCTCCTTTAGAGTTTATTATGTGTTTTTATCCTTTTGATAAAAGTTGTAGCTTCCATTCCATTAACAAAATGGTCTCAGGAATAGAAAAAGTACAACACGGCCAAGAAAGGAAATGCCAACCCTGGAAGCCAATCATCAAACTATCTGCATGCATAAGTGACATTGACCAAAGCAGCCAAGCAGAACTTGGTACCACACAGAATGATGGGAGGAATATGAATACCATGACTCTGCTTATATTCCATAGTACAAACTGCAGGATCAATTCAAACTGCGTCCGCTGTGGAAATATGTTGCTATGGATAATGCTTACGCTTTGCAGTGTGATGCTTATCGCCTGCCAAAGAGCAATTTGTTTTCACAGTGGAAGGCAAAACTTGACAAAAACAGACATTTAGAATCTCCATAACGACCTTTAAAGTGGCATTAGACTATGTCATTTCAAACACCTTTTTTGTATCTTTGGCATACACACAAACACATTCAATGCTCTACTTCCTTCTCACACTTTGTTCTCACCCACAAAATTCTGACCTCCCATTGATCCTCCACACAAAAGGGTAGAGAGTTATGGAACAGAGGAGAACTGGTTCATTTGGTGCTCTCTTTCTCTTTCTCTGGGAAGTAAATAACAAAAACGTTCATTAATGTTTTAGCAAGAAGAATGCCCACTCTCTGAAGTGTGTCAGAACCCGAGAGAGTGAGAAGACTCAAGCTGGCAAAAGAGCTGGTGTAAGAGAAAGGAAGAGGGGGCTTCACACTGCTTTTATTCATTCCTAAATTCTCATTTTAATATGAATTCAAAACATGGGACAACATAACTTGGCCGCTTTAATCTGAGAAAGTTTGAAAATCTAAATGTGTGTTTAACAAATTTGATATCCAGCTGTGGGCCACTCAGTGTATTGTAGAATACAATAAGTAAACAAGGGAGCAGATATTACTATTAATCATTTGCCCATTATAAAATGATCCTCATAAAGCATCATGGGTAAATATCTTAAACAAATGCTCATTATGTAAACTGTTTATAGAGATCACGTCTGTCCAGGTCAAATTGATCATTATATCCGTCATGCAGATCACCATCTTATTACCATGTATTACATGCATATAAAGTAATGAAACAGACAGCTGATTTGAGTTTCAACCTGCTGTGTGAATTCAATTACCATGGTGTGTTTAATTCAAATACATTATAATAAAGTACATCACCAGCACCATCTGACATTTTTAACAGACGTGAAAATAAAGTGTTTGTTCTTTATGTTCCTTTGTTCCTAATTTAAGAACAACATCTATTTTTTCTTTAAATTAATAGGCTTTAGAGTTATGCAAATACTTTTTATAGAGCCTGTATTCTGGAAATAATAGCAAATAACAGGAAGTGTAAAAAAAGGGTGATACGTTGAGTTTGAAAAGGGAAATATGTTAAATGTTAAGGAAACCAGCTGTGGGTAACAAACTTCCTTGTCTTATTGAAACACTTTGGCTCCAGCACTGCTCCAAATACAATCCTTTTGTTACAGACAGAAATGCATGAACACACATGTAAGTGCCTTGTGCCCAAAAAATGCACAATACTGTACACACAGGATGGTGATATACAATGGGTTGACATTGGGTCTTCATTGTCATTGTTTTGGTTATTTAGTTGGTTTCCTGTGCCTCATCGCTAATGGAGACAGATTTAGTCTCGTAAGCGCATGGTGCTGTGACCCAGGGAAGTGGTCATCTTAACATGACTTAATCATTCCACAAAGATTTAAAATAAGATCTAAATGCATGATACTTAGATACTTACAATGATTTGTTCCAAACCCAAACGCTGTTCAAGACATACAGTAGCAATGCAAGTCACACAGTTTTATTCCAGTATGCATTGCACGATTTAAATTATGATTCAATAAACGCATCCAGACATTTACACCAACTCATATCTGGTATGTTTATTTAAATGGCTGCAAATGACAGAGTTAAAGTAGATTATTTGTATTTTATTGGGGGAATGTTTATGTAATATTTAATGAAATTGGGACTATTGGGTTGCACATAATATAGTATTAAGAATGGAAAGAAGCTCAAAGTCATAAAGAAGTTGCAGTAAAAGTATTGCTTGGCCTACTATAAAGCTGTGTCCCAGATTTATTTTCCTGCTGTTACCTTGGTGATCAATCATTACTGGATCCAATGTAAGGCCTTCACTGATGGCACAATAGCACCAGCCTGCTATCTGTGACCCTCTATCCCCTGCACCGGTGCTGCGTTTGTGTGGGAGAATTTAAAAAAACTCCACATGTTGAATTACTCTTTTTACTGCACTGTGTACAGTTTTGATGTTGTGCTGCTGTGTTTATTGTATTTGTGTTACTCTGGCACAACAATTTCCTTCGGGATAAATAAAGTCTTATCTTATCTTATCATACAAGCTGTATAGAACTAGGAAATATTTATGACCTGCCCGTCTGTGTAATTTGTAGATTATATAATCTATTTCTGTAAAGGATATTAATAATTGCCCACAGAATAATACTTGTTTTATAAACATCAAGGTGTCAACGAGCCATAGGGAAACTGCACAGACGTGATGATAGCACTTCACTTCTCTTCAAACCACATCCACCCACCACACACACACACAAACGTACACACACTCTGGTTTGGGAAAATTGTCTATGGAAATAGTGTCCATGGCAACAGACCAGACCATTCAACAGAGACTACTGCTAAGTTATTAAAAGCTATTCATCCAGAGGCAGATACTCTATGTCTATTGTGTGTTTATCTTTGTGTGTATTTATGGAACATGCTATGATGTGTGTTATTGGAAAGAAACAGGATGTTCCCAAGCCACACCAGAGCAGTAGCCTATACATGTCTGAACTGGTGTGCCCTCCGGAAAAATATACAATAGGTTGTCAACCTGTGCATCTATATAGCAAAAGTTTTACTCCATTTCATCCTGCATTTTTAAACCGACCAATTTCTTCAAAGCAGATTTCATACACTGCAAGCTTTGTAAATAATAGTTTGTACTGTAATACAAAATGTTGTGCGACATACTGTAGAGCATGCTTTGCGTTATTAACAGACAAACAGGCATGAAGAGACAAAGAAAGAGCCATAGAGACAGGTGGATAGACACATGTGTGGCCTGTAACAGGTGTCAGCTGCTTCCTTGCCGTATTTTACACATTTCTCTTTAACCCTGTAACCATTGAGGTAGGCCTGTCACGTCCTGCAAATGTCTCTTTTTACCAGCTGTTTGATGACTATACTTTCCGTTTCACGTCCATTTCGTCCCTCCACTTGTTCTATTTTCCCCTCCCTCTATCTCTCTCACCACTACTATATTCTGTTACGACAAATGTGTGAGTGAAAGACAGAGAAAGCTGAAGAGTGAGAGGGAAAAATGGAAAGTGAGAGAAAGAGTGAGGCAGATGGAATGGATGCAAAGAATCAACAGTCCCATGTGAGACTGATAAAAATAAACTCTTTTACCCTACATCCACTCCGTCTTTCTCTCTCTCTTTCTCTTTCTCGACTGGAGGGCACAGAGATGTTATCTAAGTGCTTCCTAAGAAAAAACAGAAACACATCCTAACAATAACCCACGTTTGGCCGCACTGCATATGAGAACGCAGAAGTTTGGCCCTGGTTCAGCAGCCTCACTGACGTTCATCCTTCACATGGCTGAGTGTATGATTGCACATTGACAAAACACAGTGTATCACTGCATCACTTAAAGTGTATACAGTGACTGATTCATCCACGCCTGGGGGGAAACACCACTAAGCTTCATCAGTCAAGTCATTTGTTCAGTGTCAAGCAGAAATGCAGGCAAACACCTCCTGAACTTCATCTCCACATATTGCTGGCCGATCTTTAACATTGCCCATTTGAGGTTTAAGGTGTTCAATGAGTATAAGTCCTGTAGTCAAAATAAGGTATCCCACGCTAATTCTAGTTCAAATTAAAAAAAAGAGTAGTTGCTGACATTTTGGTTAAACAGTGTATTGTATGTGAAATAATCACTGCATGTTAGTGTCATCAACTAAACCAGATTTTTGACTTCATTCCCATCATGTTATATATATTAACATTCGAAAATATTATTTTTGACAACGGCAAATTGATTTAAACCATATTGCTCAGCCCTACTTGACCTTTATCCTGTTTGTCTGCCAATAGCCCTGGGCACAGGAGATGATGTAAGCAGACATTTTACAACAAAGTTAATTCATTCTTGAGAGTATCTCACTTTGCAGCTGGTACAGCTGATGACTAAGTCAAATGATTACACAAATTCCTCTTAGAGCCCCTGGTGAAACAAATCAAACAAAAACTGAACACTGCCAAACAAACATGCCTCAAGTTGGAGGGGAACAGACTATTGAGAACGAAGAAACAAGAAATCCCCCAGACATCCAGCACTCTGAGTGTATGGGACCTTCCCATGGCCATTCAGGGCCATTCAGAGTTTATACTACACACCCCGAGAAACCCAACTCCGCTCTGAGGATTCTTAACGTGCTTACGGATTAAGGGTCTTTAAGAGAACTTCTCCATTCTCCAACTCTGATTAAATGTCAATTTGCACCAGAATGAAAGAAGAATAACACGAATATAACACAAAAACAGCTGGATTTAGCACGTTCTTTACTACTAGGTGTTCAAAAGTATTGTGGTGTGTTGATGTTCTTAATGCATTTACCCCTATGTGTGTGTGTGTGTGTGTGTGTGTGTGTGTGTCTGTGTGTGTGTGTGTGTGTGTGTGTGTGTGTGTGTGTGTGTGTGTGTGTGTGTGTGTGTGTGTGTGTGTGTGTGTGTGTGTGTGTGTGTGTGTGTGTGTGTGTGTGTGTGTGTGTGTGTGTGTGCTGTTGGCGCTACTCAAGAAAGGGGTGGACAGGTCAAAGAGAAGGAAAGACACTGAGTACTTTTGGCAGTACACACACATCCTATAAAACTAAAGTGCCACCTCTTCCCTTCCCTGGACGGCATTAAACATGTGCTCCACTTTTTTGTGGCCCATAAACTCCCAAAGGTTGTTTTCTCCCAAAGGGATCCACTGATTACCCTGGGGGCGGGAAAGAATTCAATAACAATGTCAAACTATGACAGTGAAATAACTCAATGTATGCTTCTGTGGGTCACTGTAAATCCAAAGCCTCCCAATATCTCATCATCACCCAGTCACTTAGTTGTTGACACAGTTGGACCTAAGCTTGTGTTTAGGTAGCCATGGGGTACCTTTCTGATCTATCCCCCTACTCAACTGCCTTTCAAAGATCTCCTGGGGTGTTTGTGATGTGTGTGTGCGTGTGTGTTTGTGTGTGCTTGTGTGTAGTGGATGGACAAGGAAGTTAGTATGAATGCTTCTGGGAGCCTAACTGTTTTAGAGGGGCTCATATTTAGGGGGAGCCGGCTGACGCTCAGGTTCACGCTTCTGAGGTAAACACTTCCCTGCTGTGTTCATATGAGTTAAGTCCTCAGTTGAGTCAAAAACATGTGCAAGTGTGTGGATGTCTTCACACATTCATTTGGACACACTTAGATTTTTTTCAGTATTCCCCGTGACCTGTAGGGGTCAGAGTTCCTTCACCTCACAGTCCCATGTGTCACTGATGTTCCTCACTGGGCTGTCTCGTTACTGCTCTGCAATTTACCTCAGTGAATATGATTTCTTCCACTCTATGTGTAAATCTGAATAGGCTTCATCTATCACAGGGGTAATAAATAATGTATACAGTGATATAAATGATTCATAATGCAATAATCCCATGTCACCAGCCTAATGGGACCTACAATGGGTAGTGTTTGATACAATTCTACAGTCTAATTTGAATAATATTTCAACCACGTTCCAGGCATGAAAATTCGACCTGCCCGCTATCCTCTGGCTATAACTCCTCATTCAGACATATGGTGCCAAATATTGTCCCTACCAGGCAAAAAGGGAATGAGATTAATGGAAATATTGAATTTTGGAGATGGCAGCCAAATAACCAAGCTGGCCAGGCTGCTACCTGAAGGCCTGGCTCCTAACAAAGATATCACTGCATGGGCGTGTTTCACCAAACTGACAGCATGTTGTTTTAAATGACTGATACACTCACAGGTATCATTAGCTAACTACAGATGGCCATGTATTTATGTGTGTTTCTGTGTGCTTGCGCATGCTCGTGTGTATAATTATGGATCTCCCAGTGCTGAGCGAGAAATATTTCTCTTTGGCAAAGCCATCTGCTGAAACAGACCTGCACCATTCATCCTGAGTATAATTACCATGCAGGAAGGAACAGAGCGGAAAAATGACATCCAGGAAAAAAAGAAAGGCAGAGAGGGATAAATGACGCTAAACTGCCAGGGAGTCCAAGTCTGGCACCACTTTCATTGTAAAACTGACAAGAGCAGTTGATCAAAAATAAAAAAGAGTCACAGGAAGAGAGAGTGCGTATCACGGAAATACTTTTGTAATAAACAGTTTAGTTTTGATAAAGAGATACATGAGGCAATGAAGTAAAAATAAAATCAGTTTCCTAGGTACTCTCTTCTAATATCTCTTCTTGGCACAATAATGTAGTGAATTATTCTGCATTCATTCCTTTTTATTATTCCCAGCTTTTACTGAACCAATTATGATTTTTACAAGACTACAATAAGGCTTGCAATAAAACAACACAGTTTTGTTTTTTAAACTGAATGTAATGGAACATACTGTAAATACTATACTTGGAAGAGTAATCAGCATTTCTGATTTAACAACAAATAGGAACTTGCATTTGCAACATGCAGATTTAGACAATCTTAAACAGCTTTCATGTTCAAATCCAGACTGTAATTCCATGACTAACACAAAAAACAAAACAGATGTTCATTAGTTTCTGTTACACGACCATAAGCCATAATACTTGATAAGCCTTGTAAAGAATTATGTCAAGGCAGTTTACATTGCTGGTATTTTTACAGATAGTCAGTGAAGAATATCTCTCTGTGTCCCAGGGAAATCAAGGATCTCACAGTTACAACAACTTCTTTAGACTTCTTCTTTTTTAGTCACTTCATCGACGGCACACCACATTTGGTTTGGGAATATAAATCTACTTAATCAAAGGGCAGACCATTATGACAAAGGCTCCAATTCAGACATAATCATTAGGATATTTTCCTTCTATGACAGAAAACACAAATGCAAGGAACTCACCTTTATAGGAGAGTTTTAGACGGGGGACGTTGGTCTTGGTCTGTTGGGCTGCGCTGCCATCCGCCCTGAGCAAAAACACCCCACACAGCAGCACAATGCTGCCCCAGAGAGAGCCCATGGTCCTGGGGCAATAGACGCAAGTAAGGTCCTTTAAGTTCACACCTCCAGTGCGATCAGGCTTATATCTGAGTAGTAGAAGAAATATCCCTGTTGTCCAGCGTTTATGAAAAACTGCTGGTGGGTCTGTCCAGACTGGTGCGCAGCAGGTTTCGTCCCCTGCCAAATGAAAAACCCTTTCCTGTTCCAGGGGTCAAAAGCCACAAATTAGAGTCCAACTCCAGGGGAGGCAAAACCTGCAAAGCAGAGTTGGGGGTTACGGGTCAATGTCACTGCAAGTCCAAGGTAAACTCAACCAAAGTAAGCACAAAGAAGAGATCATCACTGTATAAGATATAAGGAAGACGAGTGAGAGGGTCCGGGTACGAATGCCATCGCTTTCTGTCCTGGTACCTAACCAGCATGCGGCTCTGTCTAAACAGCCATCCACGCTGTCGCAGAGTCTCTACCTTTAGCTAAAGAGAGAAAAACAGGTCCAGTTTGTTTCAGCTGTTAATCCAGTCTGCTTGGTAAGCACAATCTGCACTGACTTTCTCTCTCCCCCTTCCACTCTGATTTTCTATCTCCCTCTCTCTCTACTTAGCACTAGTTCAGCTCCACTCAGCGCAGCTCTGCCCTGTCCCCACAGCACAAGGCACACAGTGCAACTGAGAACAGCTGAGGCAGACAGCAAAGTCAGAGTGAGAGGGAGAGGGAGAGAGAGAGAGAGAGAGAAAGAGAGAGAGGGGGGAGGGCAGGGAGAGAGAAAGAAGGAGAGAGAAGAAAAGAAGAGAAGAGACTGCAGTGTAGGTGGTGGAAGAGAGGGTGACAGAGAGCATAGAAAGAGAAAAGAAAACAGTGTAAGCAAAAGTAGGAGAAAAACATTATGGCAAGGCAGGAGGCTAGAAAGTGTATACAGACCGAAAAACAAAGCAGAAGATGAGGAAACTCTCTTACCGAAATGTTACATTTAGTTATTATAGTATATATGAGAATCAAAGACAGACAGACATTTAACAAAATAAAGGAACACACGTAAGTCCTAATGCACTAAGTGTACAGTACACTTAATCTGCATCGAATACATCCATTACATTATTAACCAAGCACTACTCTTTCTGTGTTCAAATGTACCTTTGAGGTTATCTTCTTCATCTCACAATTAACCTTTCTTAATCCTTTATTCTGAATAACATTTGTGTTCAAAGTTTTACCAATACATGTCTACAGCTGGTATGCATAATCCTATGCAGATTTTTGGAGTAGCTGTTGGAATCAGCTTAATTCCCTTAAAACCAGCAGTACAATACATTTCAATATACATCATCATTTCATTTTTATCTCAATTTTATTAATGCATAATGCTATGTATATATTCAAAGGCATTATTGGTTGGTATGTGGTTAAAAGTCCAGTACATTACGTTAACTACTATTCAGTGTAACTGGGAAGAGAGCTTCTGTTAGGTTGTGTTTTCTCTGCTGGGTGCTGAAGCCAGACAGTGAGACTACAAAGAGACTCTCCCGAATGCATGCTATTTAACTGAATCCTTCACATCATAGCATACGTCGCTTACGCCACAGTGTTGATGCTCATGGTTTCGTGGAACTATCCAGGACAGCAGACAAACACATCTTGTCAGGTACATCTGTCTGGGTATGGCGCCACTAACGTTTCAAAAATCACATGGGTGAACACAGAAGTTCATTTTCAAGCTTAACTTAAATGTCAAGCTTCAACGTGCAACAAATCTCATTCTGGTGAAAAACAAGAAAAGTTCTTGTACTGAGCAAAGAATATAATCTCCAGAAGGATGAGATACCATAGAGCAAGGTTTCTAAATGTGGGTTGAAAAAGTGTAAAAAACCTTTCACTAAGCAACATGTCTCTGTGAAGAACAATAAATCGCTCCACTGACAAATGAAGCATTCTTCAGAATAATCCACATTCTACATAAATACAGTGTTCTAAAAGACATTTAAAACTGATTATTTAATATTAAATAGTCAAGCATAAAGGGAAGATTGATTGGTTATTTTGTGGCCACTCTATCTTAGTCTGAAGGGGTGTTCCCTGTCTTTTCTCTTCAACCATCCCAAATGAGATGTCAATCTTACCCTAAACAGCAGACCCTCAGTGAGCTGATTCCTTCTCGTGGTGAATGATAATGACTTTAGTGGCAATGGTGTGGTTTAGACCTCTAACAGGCTGTATCCATCTGGATAAAGAGCCATCAGACAGTGGGAGGAGAGCTGAACTAATCCTGTAGTGAGTGGATGGGCCCCACGGTTATGCTAATATAAACTGGCGCTTGGAGGTTCCAGGGCGAACACTACAGGGAACAAGTGTCACGCCAGTCTCTGCTTCCCTTACACACTGGATTAGTGGCTGAAACAGACAGATCCTTTCCTTTGCTATGTGGGATTGGCAGTGTTGACGTACCAGTTCATTATTCCAAGGATCGTGTAACACAATCTGCCATACCTAAGGCCAGACAGAGCGATCGTTTGAGGCGAATTAGGAGTGAATGGCCCACTTGAGAATGTTACTACTGGCCATACTCCTTGCATGGTGATCACAGCAAAGTGTTTTCATGCATTTGTTGTTCAAGTGGATAACAACTAGCTCCTTGTATCAGTATGTCACATCATTATTGCCGTCTAAGAGCTTGGTTGATTAACTGTCACTTATGATTCTGCTTGATTCTTGTGAAAAATGCATATGCAGACTTAACATTTGGCAGTTAAATCATCCTGGTCGTCTCCTTAAAAAGGAAAAAAGACATCGGTGAGAATGTCCCAGTTCCAGTCATCAGGGAGTTATTTAGTGCTTCTAACTCAAGTGTTCTTCACTTTTCTGAACCCCACTGAACCCCCTCAGTTCACACTATTCTAACTCCCATTCTATGCAATTCTCCTAACTTCTCTCTAATTCAGCCTTGCTCTTGACGAACCCTCCAAACGCAAGTTATATTTGAATGTCCAGAAAAAAAGTTGTACGGGCGTGTAACTTTGTAGACTCAACATTTACTTCAGCCCTAGTCTTGTATAATGTCTTCCTTTGCCTGTCACCTCTCAACCTAGCTATGGTTAAAAAATACACTGAATAACATTGGTCCAATAAAAAACAGGGACACGTCCTTGACTATGTGCAGGTTTTTACAAAGCCCAAAGGGAGTTGTGTGTTTGAAGGAGAATGCCCCTCTCTGAAGCACCAATTCAGCCTCATGGTCTAAACTCTTCTATTCACTAAGACAGAGGGCCCAGAGTACTCTGACCATCTCAGAGTTCATCAGCTCCTATATGCAAGTGAGGTAGGATAGAGGGGGATACATTGTGGGAGGCATGGTATGTTTGGCTGATCAGGCCTGTGGAGTTGAATGGGCAATGGATCTGTCGATACCTTTTGAAAGCTGGAGCCCCCCATCAAAGTTCACTCAGCCCTCCTTATACAATACTCGACCCACCTCACTACGCCCCCTGCCCGCACAAGTACACCCCCAACCCTCAGATCTCCTCACACACAAGCTGCTTTCCTCTTTTGCCTCCCTCTAAACATCACATCCCCCCAATCCACACCAGTGCATACGTTGACCGCGCATGCGTGGTGAACTGCGTGTTAGAAAATATGAGATCTCAGACTGGCTTACCTGTACGTCAATCAAGTGGCAAATGCCATAGTAAGGATGGATGATAGGCTAACTTTTTTTTCTTTTTCAATGACATGCGATCTACCCACACTACCTTCGCGATCGACCGGTCAACGTATTGGGCACCCCTGCTCTGCATCTACTGTATACCCAACACCAAAAACCCCTTCCATCACTTTCTCTATTCCTCTGTCCATTCACCCTCTTTTTCTGTTTCATCATCTCTGACCTCCACCTACTCACCACAAGCCCGGGAACATAATCCCCTAAATGAGAGGATTTGGCTCAGCAAAATTGAGCACAAGCCCAAGACAAGCAAATTAACCACATTTGCCGCCCACCTTCCCTTTACAATACCGGCCTGCATAGTTCACCCCTGCATCCACCCACCCAGCTGTAGTTAGGATTAGCTTCACAACAGGCAGCACTGAGTGACTTGAACAGGCAGCATGCTAGGGGGAAAAAAAGGAATTTCATTAATAAAAACTATCAAGAGTAAGATTACAGGTTCAAGTATTGAATAGCCTTTTAGGAATGGTTTCATAAAATGATTCGTCAAGGTATTCATGCTCCATCTGTCTTCCGTTCCAATGAGTGGAATAAATCACCATACGAGCATTGCTGTGCATTGTATGACATTTTGTTCTAATCCATCAGACGAGATGAGATATACGAAGCAGTGACGCAGTTTGGCCCCACTGCCATGGATATTAGGTTGCTGCTTAGGACAGGACTGACGTACTGGCATTGTGCTTATTATTGGCATAAAACATACACAAACATGCAATGATGGAAGCTAGCTGTGTGAGCCAGCAGGTCTTGGTATGAAGGGCAAAAGTAAGACTTTTCTATACCTTCCTTTAGCCAATATGGATCAAGTACTCACCAACTTACCCCAGGGGCATCGGGGAGACAAGAAAAACACATCATGTCTGAACAGCAGTATTATTAATATTTGTGGCTGAGTGTAATCATATTTGAGCATATCTGCCATCCCTCCCATCTAACAATAGGTGGATTTTCCATTTTCCAACTCCTCTATGTAAGCAGACTCATGAGAGTATGGCATAAATAGACAGAGTATGTTGTGCACTATTCATGACTGAATAAACCACATGCTGTTGGTGATTTACTCTTTGTTAATGAAAAATGGATGAAAATACAGAAAAAACCTCAGAGCTATGAATAAATTACTAAGAACAGTGCATCGTCTCCACACTGAAGCAACCACACCCTTATTGTGATAGCAAGAGGGTCCATATTGCAAACCTAAGAGTATGTATTTTGCCAGTTCATATCATGACATGTACATATCAACAAAAAAATATCCTGGAAACATATCAACATGGGAAGCTTTGTCATAAAGCATTCTCAAATAAAACTACAAATGAACAAAAAAGTAAACTCCATACCAGACATCGCTCCTCTAGCGGACGTTAGCAGTTTACCCCATATGGGCATTAACAGTAAGATCAGAAGACGCAGCGTCTGCTTGGATGTGCATCACTCTTTCACCAGCCACATTAATTTATCATCATCCATCAATATTTCAACCTTTAGGCTACCTGCTTCTCAACCCCACGGGGAACAACAAAAACACACAGCCTCTCTCTGACTCAAGTGAAGCCATCCAGCGATTACACGAACAAGGACTGTGACAACACCTTTCTCAGTCATACAGTATAAAATGTGTCAAAACATTATCGGCTGAAAAGTAATCTAAGACAAAACGGTATTTAAAATAAGGAACCTCTTAACGATGTGGAAAACAGTACAGACAAAGAATAGAGTGGGTGATCTACAACAAATATTACACTTGTGAGCAGAACCTGTGATCCCTTAAAGCCACAGTGTTAATATAATGTGATACTTTTTTTCATTCTTGGAGATAAGAGCGCACGGTTAGCTGCAGTAAAGGCTATGGACCTGGCTATGGTTTGCTCAGAATTTCCTTAGGGGGGATTCATTGCAGGG